GGTTCTTAAATAATTCTCTGCCTTTACCCCCACTCCCTCCCCGCGCTGCTTGACGTGCGAAGCGATCGAAGCCCCCCCCTCTGCGCGAGCTGTCTTCCGTCCGCCGCTCAGCTGCGTGGGTACGGGGCTGCAGTACGGGTCCCGTGGCACAGCGGTCTGATCCAGTCCGCGTTCTCCGGCGTCGTCGGACTCCTGTTGCGACAGGTTTCAGGTCGTGGGGAGGGAGAGGGGGACAGCTGGGACGGTGAGGGGAGAGAATCCCAGTCCGTCGCCTCCTGGGACAGACGGACGCGCAACGCCCCGTACCAGACGCCCAACGCCACGGGCTGGCCCGCTACCGGCCCCCGGAGGGACGGCGCACACAGGCCGAGCCCCTGACCTCCGTGGAAATGAGGAATTGGAACATAACTTGTCTGGATGCTCCTGACCGCACCCCCCTCCCCGTTCACGCCAGAGCCTGCCACGCGCTGGGCGCGGAATCCGAGTCGGGATCTCTCGGATGTTGATGCGTCCCCAGCCTACCGGCCTGCGCGGTACCTCGTGCAATTTGACCTTCGACCTCTCTTCTGCCTCCCCCCCGCCCCCGCTCCGATTGAAATGAGCAAGGGCGTAGGAGAAAATAATCCGAGGTCATGTTCAGCGCCCCGTCTCCGGAGAAACTCATCTCAGGCGGTTTCCTGTCCTCGGTGCAGACCTCGTCTCCAGATCCATTTGTATTTAAATGTAATTCTGCGCGGCGGCGGCAGTTTGGCCCCGTGTGCTGACAGGATCTGTTCCTCCTGGGCCTTCGGCAGCCCCTGAGTGATTTAGCGCCGCTCCCCTCGTCGCAGGTCATCGCTGCGCCGCTCCTCTTCGGTGTGCAGCTGTGGGTAAATGCAGGAGGCGACCGGCCGATTTATTAGGAACCCCTGTCTCCGCACCACGGGCCGTGCGTCAGTACTCTCAGGTTCAAGTAACTCGGGTGACATCATGAAGTGGTGGCGCTCAAGCAGTAATTGGCGAAGTATTTACCACGACCGTGTCTCGTTGGAGTGGCTCGCTCCTCGGGCTGTGACTGGAGATCACGCGCTGGGCTCCAGCTCTGGAGTTTCCTCCCCCAGTAGGACTGGGAAGTGTTCTGATGCTGGCAGGTGTGGGGGTACTGGGATAAGGTTGGTTTTGGGGAAGGATGTTGGATTCCCCCCCCGGAGAGCCAGGTCTCCCTGTGTCCAGTTTCGGTTTCCAAGCTGTGATCACTGAGCCTGTCCTTCCTGGGCGGTCAGGTCTGCCTGTGTTGCCCAGTTTCGATGTCCAGACTGCAGTTCCTCTGTGAAATCAGTGACGTATGACATCTGCACGCTCCCAGCTAGATCTTGGCCTTCTGCTCAACAGCGCCGCCCCTGTGGCTGAGAGTGTCAGCGGCCTGACAGTGTCGGGAGGGGGGGGAGAGAGAGAGCGTGGGGTCTGTCTCGGCCCCCGACGCCTGAGCTCTCCTGCGTGTGCACGCTCAGGGGGGGGGGCTGGCAGTGGGGAAAAATCGAACCGGGCCGACGAGAGCGAGATGAGGAGGAGGAAGAGGCGTGTCGCACAGGGGGCAGAAGCAGAGACCTGCTGAGCGAGAGAGCAGTTGGTCAGTGTTGAGATCCGCCCGGAGGTCTGAGGGTGGACGGACGGCGGAGGTGGTCTCGGCTCACCTGAGGTTCCTGTGCGGCGACGTGTGCTGAGCAGGTCTTTCCTAGAAAAACGGCTCCTGCGGTTCCGGTTCTGGTCCCCGTCCCGGGCTGCTCCGCGGACGCTGCTACAGTCGTCCCGTCCTTCTCCGCTTTCTGCATCGAGCCCCCCCGCTGGTCGCGTTTCCTGCCCCTTCTGCCACCTCTCTCTCTCGCCCCGGCCCCTCTCTGTCCCCGCTGTACCTCCGGCTCTTCGTTTTGTCCTCATCTTCCTCCGTCTTGCTCGGCGAGCCAGCTGCCCGTTCTCCTCCTCCTCCTCCTCCTCCTCCTCCTCCCCTCTCTATTTACATAAAAACATGTCAGCTCTGTTTCCAAGGGCAATTACAGCGAGATATCGCCTCGCTATCTCCCTTATTGAATTAGGAAGGAGAGGAAAACAAGCGCCATAAATATTCATGTTCCACTCCGCTGTGCTTTATTGAATTTACCCTCCTTCTCTCTCTCTCTCTCTCTCCGCCTCTCGCCGAACCCCAGTTTATTATAAGCCCCCCAACGTGCAGCTCGGGTCCATCGATCACAGCTGCAGCAGGTCTGTAATGTTCGGCTGCTCGTACGCTTTACAGTTCAGCTTCTCGTCGGAACATTATTCTGACCTGGGAGGGAGGGGGCCTGGATTTCCGCTGAAGCGTGCAGGTGCTTTGTTATTCGTTTTCTGTAGCTCTCGGAGGCCGGGATGCAGGAGCGAGGCGGGGCGAGGCCGGGCGGCCTGGTCGGGGGTGCTCGCCCTGTCGTCGCCGTCCGACCCCGGGGGGGCGGGTGAGCCCGACGAGAACGAGCGTCGCTGGAGGAGGAGACGGTGGGGGGGGCGCTGCCTTCTCTCCCAGCACTGGAGCTGCTCGGGGGGGGTTGGCGCCGAAGCAGGCGGGCTGGTTTAAGGACTGGGAATTCCAAGAGCATTGTGGGAGCTTTGAAAGAAAGCTGAGAGCTGTGCACAGCCGGAGAGGTGTGGTCACATGCAAGAGAGCGGTGGAATGGAATATAGCCATTAAGCCATCTCTCTCTCTCGCGCGCACACACACTTTTCCGATCGGTTTCGTCTCCGTCCGAGCAGATCGGAGCGAAGCCCCAGCCCCCCTAAACCGTCGCCGTCGGAGAGGGGGATCTGGTGTACAAGCGCGCAGGGCCTGACCCAGACGCTGAGCCGGGGGCGGTGGGGATGTAAAAACAAGCCCTCAGGGCTGTCGGCGCGCTGCCCTCCGGAGAGGCCGCTAACCGATCCAGGACGCGGCCTGCGTGCCGGCGCGGTCCTGGCGAGACGCCGCTCAGCCAATCGGAGAGGGCCTCCGGGGAGGACAGGGCAGCGTTTTCTCCCGTCTGCTCGTTCGGCGGGGAAATTGCCTTTCGCATTTACATAATTTTCTATAAAGCTCGTTTTGTCGTCTTTAACGAGCGGCGCGGGAACCGGTGCCGTTTGGTGGTGGCTGGGCTGAGGATCCTGAATTGATGGCCAGCCCGCTGTTTACGCGGTGTGATTTATTCGCCAATTAGTGGCTCCGGCTCCGACTGTAATTGGGGGGAGTGACTTGTTTGTTTCTTCTCTGCGAAGTCGTTAGTTACTGCGCTGCGACTCGGGGGAGGAGAGGAGGGAGCAGCCGAGCTCCGAGAGGCCCAGGGAAAACTCACTGCGCCGCTGTCGGGTCCGCTCCGGGTTTTACAGGCGCCGTGAGCCTGATGCGCACTGCGCCGCTGTCGGGTCCGCTCCGGGTTTTACAGGCGCCGTGAGCCGGACTCGCACTGCGCCGCTGTCGGGTCCGCACCGGGTTTTACAGGCGCCGTGAGCCGGACGCCCACTGCGCCGCTGTCGGGTCCGCTCCGGGTTTTACCCGCTGCAGGGCTCTGGACCGATCTGAGACCAGTCTCGCGTCTGTAAGACACGGCCAGTTTGTCCGAATCCCACCCCAATGAACCCTCCGGCCCGGCCCGGTCCGGCCCCACCGGGGCAGAGAGGGCTCGGGGAGAGACCCGCTGGAGGGCTCTGTGGAGCGTGCGGAAGACCGGGGCACGGGGGGAGAGGAGAGGAGAGGGTCACAGGTGCGAGCCGGGTCTCGGAGAGAGATGGGAGAGAAGGAGGAAGAGGCAGGGAGGGGGGAGGCCACTAGAAACGAGCCAAAAGGAAAATTGATGAGTGTCGCAATGTAGTCTACCAGCATTCAGAAGCAATTGAACTAAGTCATTATATTCACTCAGCTGTTGACCTGCTCAGTTTGGACGAACGACTGTTTTATTCAGATATTTTGGTTTCTCACCATCCGCGCGTCTCTTGGGTAGGGGTACGGTGTTGTGTTAGGGGTACTGTGCCGCGTCTTCTACCTGCTTGCCCAGCTGGGACAGGGAAGCACAACGAGCAGGAGCGAGAGGGGAGGATGGGAAAGGGCAGGTTTGTCCCGCGGGCTGTTCCTCGAGGTTTTATTAGTAACCAGGTCCCAGACTCGGGGCAGGACCGGGCTAGGGGAGCCCGTTGGCGGACCTGTGGGTACGTGACTGGATCGTCGACGCCGGTAGCCTCTCGGCGCGTACGGTACGTGCTGTAGAGAGGGCTCCTCCACTCCCGCGGCGCGGGCGTTTAAATAAGACATCCGTCTGGAGCTGCGCGTGTTCCTCGCCGGTGTCTGCTCTCATAAATCTGCTCCAGCTTACCTTGCAAATGAAATGTCTGTCTGCCTGACGAGCAGGGATCAGAGGGAGGCGGGGTGCGCCCGTGTGAGACAGATCGTAATTTGCCAGGATGTCAAAACACGGATTCGAGTAGGAGCGGTTTTAATCCCCCAGCATCCTGTCTTCCTTGCCGGCTCCAGGCTCTCTCCTCTCTCCCTCTCTTCCTTCATTCCTTCCCTGCTCCTCTCCTCTCCCTCCCTCTGTCCCTCTAGGTGACTGTGGCAGGAGCTGTTGTGATTCCAGAAATTCTCACCCACCCACATTCCTGCCAAGTGGCTGATTTTTAATGAAAAGTTTGATACTGTGGAGTTATATGGGTAGTAAAGGTCTTGCTCAGAGTACAGGCTGATATCTGCTTCTTACGGTAACGCCGTACCCCTACAGTCCAGAGCCCGCCGGCCTGGTCTGGGTCACACTGTACCCCTACAGTCCAG